AAATGAGCGGAAGTCGAGGGTTCATTTTGTAAGACGCCGCTGACATATCGATGACTCATCTGGTTTAGGTTGATCATCTAGTGCCTTCTTTTTCAAGAGGTGAATTCTAAATTGTAGCTGCTGATATCAACTATGATTTCAAACGGTCTAACGTGTGGATGTTGCGATCATTGTAGAAAACTTAGCTCGCGTGACGGAGGGACTACTCGTAATCTGGGGGGTCGCCCAAAGATCCTTGTAGATTGTGCTAATGAAAGTAGCACATACTACTAGCTTTGCTAAAATTTTTTCCAGATCATGCTCAAAATTATGCTCGTCTTGAAAATTATGCTACCTTCAGACATTTTATTTACATATGTTTTTCAAAAAGAAACACGAAACAAGTCTAAATCATACGTTTAAGCGTCCAATTCTATTCTGATACTGATAGGTACCCCCTAAGAGGTAAAGACAGCCTTACTTTAAAGAAGAACTACGCTCGAACAAACGCGTTTAAATTTAGTTTTTTAAACCGTATTGTGGACATGTGGAACTCGCTTCCACTTCACGTCAGATCATTTTACGTTTCTCCTTATACCTCAGCTGGGTGACCGCCCCTCTCCTGGGATATCAATTCTAAATCTCCCAAGAGGGTCTTAATGGGATAAACCGTTTACCGTAAAACGGCAAAAAAAATTTAGTCGTTAGCGTAAAATTGACGAACTTAAACCGTTAGTTGTAAAAAATGTTTATTGCAAAAATTACTCTTTTAATAACAATGGAAAGAAATTAACTGTCAGTCGTTAAAGTAGCCAAACTCTGAACCGTTATTTGTAAAAGCCACCATCTCAGTGAGACCCTCTCCAAACTTGAGACTACGAATTTCCTTGTTGACTGTTTGTGAGAATTAGAAGTGGTGTAAAGACAATATACCAATATGGAGGATTTTTTGTACCCGGTGGTTCTCTACCAGTCAGTGTGTTACAGTTGTGATGAAAATGTAGAATTTTCTCTCTCTTGGAGATGGAAAAGGTTCAAGAAAGAGAGGAATTCAAAGATGGGCTTAGTGACCAGCCGCGACTAAAATCATTAAAACATTTCAAGAGTTGAGATTGCAACCTATACGAAATATATTTATATAGATAGATAGATAGATAGATGGATGGATAGATAGATAGATAGATAGATAGATAGATAGATAGATATGTTGATTAGAAAAATACGACGACTACGTTTTTATCCATACAAGCGTGTTTCGTGATTGCTCACTCATCAGGGGATTTTATTTTTATTTAATTTCATACCA